TTGTTTTGTCAGTTTTTGTACCTTGCCTGTTATTTGGATCTTCTTTGTTTACTTAATTTATTAAACTATATTTTGCTGCATTTGGATCTACTCCTTGTTTTTGTAATACCTCATCATGACATAAGCCAAAGGCAAACTAAACACAACATGACAGGGCTTATAAAATACAGAACCAATTAGACAACAAGGAACAGCTGGAAACAAGGAGTGACCATGTGAGCAGGCATACAGGAAATGAAAACAACCAAAACAAGACCTAGTGCCCTGAAGAGTTCACAAGAGGGCACTGCAGCAGATGTGACATAATGTGGTTATTAGAGGTAATAAATCTGTTAAATAATGAAAATGTGTTATATAAAATATTAGCCTATATAAACAGACTATATAAAATATATAAATACTATTTTATGTTAAACCTTTTAATTTAATTAAGTAATTACATACACAAATATAAATAGACAAATAGAACCCTTAAAAAACATTCAAGATGAAAAGCAACCAGAACTTTGAATATACTCATCTGTTTGCAAAGGCTATGTGCAAATAAAAAGTAAACATTATTTTTTTTTATTTAAAAAAGTTATATGAGCCTGGAGGTATTATAGACCTTGCAAATTCAGTTTGCAGACATTTATATGTACAAACATCCATTGTGTGCGTTCTTGTCAGTTTTTTCTTGTCTTTTTAATATTGTTCTTATCGATATCGGAATTATTTCGTATCGACTGAAATGAAGAAATATATTGTGATATCAATTTTTGCCATATCGTCCAGCCCTAGATTTATTAAACATTTTTAAGGTAAGGGCTGAATTTAAGCAAGTTAAGGTGAACATTACTTTACCATATAAATTGTTTGCAAACACCTACCTATTTTTATTTTTATTTTTTTGTAAATCCAATAAATAATTTTCAGCGTAGGAAACGTGGATTTGGCCCTATAAGTGCACATCTGCGCTATGTGCTTTAGACCATATGCTGAGGAAAGGTGAAAAAGGGCCCTGTGTTTTCCATCATACCTAATTAAACTCGCTTTCTTTCAAAACAAACTTCACACCAGTTCTCTGTCGACACAACATGCTCTTCAGCGAATGTTAGTCTGGCCTTTTAATCATTTTTTTCTGTTGGGAGATTGATCAGTGTGGGCTTTCAATGTATGGGGAGACACAGAGCCATATCTTGTTCAGTGCTGAAATAAAGAGCAAAATCACCTTCAGTGTTGAATCAATTGGACTCTCATCATTATCCTGTCTGCATTTTTTCAGACATTTTAGGAGGACTTGAATATGTCAGTGACATTGAAAAGATAAAAACAATAGACATTGCAGATTTAAAATGTCAAACATTTTTTGCCATGGCTAAAGCGGTCATGAAAAAAACCTAAAAACTGCTGATTTCCCCCTGATATTGGATAAATCTAAATAGGATTAAGTAGTGGCCTCTGAATTGTATTCTTGAAATGTACCATACATGCATACATATTTATTTAATACATTTATTAAAAATATTGTTAGTATTTTTTTAGGCCTGTCATCAAGTTATGTGATTTAGGTAGAAGTACAGATAGATTAAAAGTTGTTTGTCCTATCTCCCTAATGATAACCGTTCACTTCTCTGTAGGGCATTATGAGTAAACATGTTTGCTGTGATAATAATGTGACGGTTCAAGGGTGTCGTTTGAGCATAAGTGTTGAGAAGGTGAGCGCTGGTGTTAACACCTTTGATTGGTCAGACACCTAAGAGAGTCACTCTGAGAATGATAACAAGTCTCATGGGTCCAGGACTTTAATGAGGTGTGTGTGACTGACAGTTGTGGATTTGGAGGCCCAGATTTAGACATTTACCATCTCTGGGTTGATTTTTTTTTTATGTGAAATAAAGGGATATAATTGCGTATTAAAAAAAAAAAAAAAAAAGCCTTTTTTTTTTTTTTTTAAGAAATACTTTGGTCTCAGATATTAACTTACTATGAAACTTACAGTTGAAGTCGGAAATATTAAGACTTAATTTTTTTTCCAAATATTTTTCAAATGATGTTTAACAGAGGAAGGAATTTTTCACAGCCTTTTCTTTTTTTTTCTTATTTGTTTTATCCTTGAAAGTCTTGTTTTTTTTATTTTTTTTTATTTTTTACTTTTTAAGGTCAATATTATTAGCCCCCTTAAGCAGTATTTTTTCCCGATTGTCTGCAGAACAAACCATCATTATACAATGATTCTAACTGTATGTAATTTGATTATTTCAATCATTTAAGTCAGATTTGGATATTGAATTTATAACTGGAAGTTATTTTAGTCCTGTTACTCAAAACATGATTACTTAGTTTTTTTTGTAATCATTTCCAAAGTATTTTGACATAAAACCTACTAAAGATCTTCACTGGCCAGCATCTAGATCCGAAGCTTTTGGTCCAAAACTTTAATGTGTACCTCAGACATCAGTCTGGCTTTTCCAAGTGGACCCGCTCAGACTCTGTCCTTTTAATAAAGTGTCGTTTTACAATAAACAGTCAACTTTGTTGGCAGAAGATGATGCTTTGGGTCACTTTTGTTGTATAAATGCGATGAAATCATGTGATATTCGGCAGCTCTGTTAAGGGTTGGACGCTGAACGTGCTGTTATACTGTAAATTGGAGAGCAGATGTTGTCTAGAGAGCAGGCATTTGTTTGGCACTGGCAATACAGCATGTGGGCCAAACATGGCTCATGTTTGGCAGAGGTGGCACCGTCTTTAAGGCGGCACATAGGGCTTGGGCCAGATGTCAAATGTAGTATTTGGCCTACAGTAGATGTAAAAAATGTATAGGTGGGCCATGTAATTTTGGTGCAACTTGACTAAGGGTGTCACGATCCTCCAAATCCTCGATTTGATTACATTTTCGATTCTAAAGGCACGATTCGATTCGATTTTCGATTATGAATAATTAATTAATTAATGACCAATTAATTATTTGTAGCCTACCGTTTAAACTACCTGACCTGGATGGTATTTGTTTTACCAATAAACAAATCATACAGTAAATGAATAAAGGTAAGATACACGCATAATTACCACCTGTCAATCACTTTTTCTGCGGGACTCATGAATAGGCAGTGATCTGTGTCCTTATAATGGCGTCGGTAAAAAAGGTGTACAACCAACAGGAACCAGCCAACAGTATCTGAGGTGTTCGCTAAAATGACTAAGTACAAGCGAGTGAAAGATTGAAGCAGTCCTCTGACTGCCTGGACCTGCTGTCTTGAGCGCATGTCTGTGTCTGTGTGGTCACGTGATGTGCATTTTCAGAGGTAGAGAGGAAGGAGGGCTGCTCAGAAATGCTACACGCCACTGTGGATGTCAAATCGTTGTCGTTCTAAAATGCCATTTAAAAACAAAGACAGTGTAAACAGGGCCTGAGTGTGTACTTTTCGCGAGTGGATTTGCAACGGGGGCGGGCGGAGGATAGCGAACCGTACGTAATACCTACATAGCAGAGCTTTTTTGTCGACAACACGAACGTTGTCAACATAACTCACTGGAAATCCAAAATGCTTACACACCGGCGACTTCATTGAAAGAGGAGAGGGTTTAAGTTCTGTCGACGGGTCTCCTGCTTCTGCAGTTTAACAAGCACTCTAACAAGCCTGTTATTTTCCCGCTTGGCAAGCCAAGCTGACGTGACATGGGACGTGGCAGCATCGACGATTCTATTTTTTGATTCGATAATCGAAATTGAGCATAAATTTTGATCGATTTCGATTAAAAATCGAAATCGTGACACCCCTAATCTTGACCCACTTTTAAGTGAAGTTTTTAAACTAATTTCGAGAGGAGCACGTGATATAATTGACAGCAGCTGGCCACCTATCTACACTCATTAGTTAGCCAATCAGATCTATCCTAACCCACTATAAGTAGCCTAGCTAGATATTACTCCCTTATCTTCGTTTTCCGAAGAAACCCCCCATCCACCCCTTTCTCCTCCTTTTCTCCTTTCCAAAAAGGGGAGCTCTCGAGAACCACCTGATCTCGTACTCCCCTCACATGCTCTATGGACCTGGCGGGAGCCCTGGGCTCAACTATCTCCGAGCTCAGGGTTCTCTCCCGGGACAGCATGCCAAACCTGCTTACAGCTGTCAAGCAATATCTAAGTGTGAACTCTTGAAATGCATTTAAATTATTTTTGAGTAAAGAAAAAATTCTACCAGTCAGGTCGCTTTGAGAAAAAGCTCGGCCATAAAGTGCAATGCTTCATAGGTTTATTAAAACCATTGCAGTCGAGACACACCAACATATCTGGCCCAGTTATGGGTTATTGACTTGGCTGAGACTTGGCCCAGATATGGTACATGTTTGGCTCTTGTACGGAAGCCAGATTTAATCCAGTCATGTACAGTAATTTACTGCGGCATGTGGGCCAGGCAAAAGCTAAATGTGTAGGCCAGATCTGGGCCAAAAAAAAGTTTCTATGTGGGCTATGACAAAGATGACCTCAGGTACAGATTGTGCACTTTTATTCTGTGTTAAATGCGCCCAGTGTGAGTTTAAATACCATTGTACGTGACATTTATTGCCATACTAAAAGCATACAGAAGTCCGAAGATTTTATCTGGTCATGATCATACTGTAACTTTTTTTAATTTATAAAATTTATAAATTTATAAAATTTATTAAATTTTGCAGCTTTTTTTGTCAGTTTTATGCATCACATTTTATGAACGGATATTTTTTTTTCTTTTAATCTCCTGAGTTTTTTTTTTTAACCATTGGCTGAACTTGCATTCAAAATAACCCTCCCACACCTGTTAAAGTATATATGGACAGAACGGAGCAACACTCAGACCATTCATGGAGTTAATCTGGATGGGCGTTTACTATATATACATTTATATTTCATTAAGTGTTGGTTTTTATCAAACTCTAATGAATGAACTCATAGTTTTTATATTTCTGTTTATAACCGTGATCCTTTTTGTGATTTACAAAAAAAAAAACCTATCTCCACATCTGGGGCAAATGTGATGACTTCAAATGAGACGGACGTTTACGCTGAAAATATGTTTCTCTGTTTTCCACACCTGCCAAACTCCTGTCCGAAATCACAACGTTTTGTTGTGGTCAAACTGGCAATGTATGTTTGCCTGTTGCTGATGATCCTCACCACTGTTTTCGGGAACCTGCTGATCATCATCTCCATCTCTCACTTCAAACATCTGCAGTCTCCAACTCATCTGATCGTTCGCTCTCTGGCTGCCAGTGATTGTCTGCTGGGCTCTTTGGTCATGCCGTACAGCATGGTGCGATCTGTTGAAGGCTGCTGGTATCTGGGAGATGTTGTGTGTAAAGTTCATTCTAGTTTGGACATGACTTTCTGTATCTCATCTTTACTGCATCTCGGTTTAGTATCTATTGACAGGTACTGGGCCATTTGTGACCCTCTAAGATACAGAATAAGGGTCACAAACACCACTGTCACTTTATATACTATCTTCATATGGCTGTTTTCATTTCTCTACAGCTTTGTTATTGTCTTTTCAGGTGTAAACAGAATTGGTTTGGAGACTTTTATCATGCAGGTTTACTGTGTGGGAAGTTGTGTTCTGTTTTTTAACAAAGAGTGGGGTCTTATATGTCCAGTCCTCACATTCTTCATTCCTGGGGCCATCATGAGCTCTCTGTATATGAAAATCTTCCATGTTGCACGAAAACATGCAAAGGTTATGTCAGAAAGAGTGACTGGAGGGTTGAAGAGCCAAAGCTCTGCTCAAAGAGAGAGAAAAGCAGCTAAAACTCTGGCCATTGTCATGGGGGTCTTCTTGCTATGTTGGACGCCTATTTTTATCGCTTCAATTATAGACTCTTTTCTTAATTTTGTAACCCCTGCCGGTGTTTTTGATGCCTTGATTTGGTTCGGATACTTTAATTCCACTTGCAACCCATTGATCTATGGATTTTTCTACTCTTGCTTTCAAAAGGCCTTCAAAATTCTACTTTCATCTCTTTTTCTTGGCTTTGGTAACTCAAGCACCTTGACATTCGAATAAATGTGTCAGTCTCTTTCTGCTTGTTAAGTCGGGACGTATTGGTGACATGGAAAACTGTTTCTAGGTTCAAGCGGTTACTCATTTGAAATGAGAAAATATTTGTTGATGACCACTTTTTATTCCTATCACACATAAAAGTGAATTTTTTTAAAATCACAGTGTACAAATCAGTCTCTGGACTTGCATCACAAATACCAACATTTTAACCATATCTAAAAAAATTAAATAAATATGTGTATGTATATATATATATATATATATATATATATATATATATATATATATATATATATATATATATATATATATATGTATATGTATGTGTGTATATATGTGTATATATGTATATATATATATGTATATATATGTGTGTGTGTGTGTATGTATATATATATATATAGCTGTATTGGATACTGTATATATTGCGATCGTGATTTTCGAAAGTATTACATCGCCTTTGTACATGATTATTATTATTACCATTTGTTGAGTCTCCCCATACAGTTTGATATAGCGCTTGGGCCCGGAAGCCGCTTCACATGACGTCACACTTAACAAGCAGAGTCTATCATTTTGCTATCATTAAAATCCCCTTACTACAGGTATATGCATGATTTTATCTGCTAATTCATGCAGGCTGAAATAATTTGGACAGCACAAAAATGTATAACAAGATAAACTGCCTTATATACAGCTGAAGTCAAAATTATTAGCCTTTTTTATTTCCTAAACAATGGTTAGCAGATCAAGGTATTTTTCACAGTATTTCCTATAATATTTTATTTTATTCTTGAGTAAGTCTTATTTGTTTTATTTTGGCTACAGTAAAAGCAGTTTTAAATTCTTTTAAAACCATTTCAAGGTCATTATTGTTAGCCCCTTTAAGCTATATATCTTTTCGATTGTCTCCAGAACAAACCGTAACTACTGTTTATGACCTGCCTAATTACCCTATCTTGCTTAGTTAACCTAGTTAAGCTTTTAAAAGTCACTTTACACTGAGTACTTGAAAAATATCTAGTAAAATATTATTCACTGTCATCATGGCAAAGATAAAAGAAATCAGTTACTGTATTAGAAATTTGTTATTAAAACTATTAAGTTCAGAAATGTGTTGAAAAAATCTTTCCATTAAACAAAACTTGAGGGAAATATATATACAGGGGGGCTAATAATTCAGGAGAGGTAATAATTCTGACTTTAACTATGTACATCTTACTAGAACCTTTTACAATTACTGAATGATGAGCTCAGCTATTGTATATAACTTCTAATCAAATGTAGTTCGAGGTTGGGTATCAGGCTTAGTTCAATTTATCAACAGTGACATTTGATTTCAACTGAAGTGAATTAAGCTGAACTGGACGTCAAGAGTGACAATTATATTAAATTGAACTGAGTCGGTTTTTATTTAACCAGAACTGCATCAGAATACTAGATCTCTAATGCCTGCCTGATATGCTGGAGTGTTTCCATGATCTGAAATACTGTTATGGCTTTAATTCTCATTTCTTCATCAATGTTTGACAAACTCTACTCTGTAAAAGTGCTATAGAAATAAAGATGACTTGACATGACTTCATTTAGAAATGAACAAAGACACTAAATGATGTGTGAATATTTATCGTCAATGACTTTTTACATTTAAATTATTCATATTGAAGGACATGTGCTCTTGTGTGTGTGTCCTAGGTTTACTTTTGATTTTATTAAAGTTTATAGAAGTGTTTAAAACTTGTTCAAAAATCTAATATTTCAGACATAAAACACCTGGTTTAGCAATAATTGTGTCCTGAGATGTCTGTGCAGAGAGCATTTATTACTTTTGATCACCAGATGGCACTATGCTCTACTTAAACTTTTCATGAATGTCTTCCATTGAACCCAAATATTCTGAAGAATGACGAAAAATGCTATGGAGGTCAGTGGCTGCTTTTGCCAACATTTTTGTTGTATATCTTCATTTGTTTTTAGCAGTAGAGCAGGTTTGGAAAAAGTGAAGGGTGAATAAATGATGACAGATTTTCCAATTTTGTGTGAACTACCTTTTTAACTGCAGAATTTATAGAAGTGGTAAAGAAGCATCAATATAATTTGCAAATCTCATTTTTTACAGTGAACAATTGTGTGCATGCTTTCAGGTATTTCTGTATCAATTCTCCTGCATGTTTGCAGTTCTTACACATTACCAGCTGCTGCTGTTGTATCAACGTATGCAGAAGCTATGACAGTCACCTTATTCACAAGTATAAATTTGACTAATATTAAAATGTCTTGCTGTCAATCTTATATGTGAATTAACATTTCCGATTTATCCTGTTGCATATTTTCATGCTAAGTTATGTACCTTGTGATAAAGATAGCAGCATCTATATGTAAAATGTTGGTTTAAGGCATAGGTGCTTAAACTTTTTCTTATGAAGGGCCAAAAATCTAACTTGATTAAGGATAGTGGGGCGAATGTAAATATAGTTGCCATGGGCAATTTAAAAATGACTAGAAATTGTTGCTTTTATATTACCTAATACAATTTTATTTTTAAATCGTTTTGTTTTTAAGTTCATTAAACAATCTCATTTATAACAAAATTAAACTAGATTTTTGGCCTTGATTTGCTGTCTAGTCCTCTATCTGTCGAGTGAGAGTATTTACATTTTGTAAAATCGGAATATTTTACATTTAATTGAAGTATTTATTTCAGTTAGCTTTTTTGTAGCAGCAATAAAACAAAAGAGGTTACGTGAAAAAAAAAAAAAAGGTCACATCAAATTAGAAATGATGATCTCTGTGTTAAAGGCATTCACTTACTCACTGTCCTCTTAGATGGGATGGTCAGCCAAATCAAAGCTTACAATGGGCCAACTTTGGCTCACAGGCCTACTTTGGGCATCTCTGGTTTAATGTCAACCCACACATCGTCCCCCAATCTCCCCAGTTCATCCCCATATTGACAGTTTCAATTGTGTGTGTGTGTGTGTGTGTATGTTTGGCAGACCAAAGCATTATTGTTTTATAATGGCCCAGCCACAGTCCTGACTTTAACCCAATTGAGAATTTGTGAAGGGAGCTAAAAATCAGGGTGATGGCAGAGACCCTCTAGTAAACTTGGGAGATTTGGCCTAAAATCTAAATCTTAATTAATTAAACATTTTAACTCGATCACGAATAATGAACGATTATTTTCATTCATTCATTTTCTTGTCGGCTTAGTCCCTTTATTAATCCGGGGTCGCCACAGCGGAATAAACCGCCAACTTATCCAGCAAGTTTTTTCCCAGCGGATGCCCTTTCAGCCGCAACCCATCTCTGGGAAACATACACACATACACTCATACACTACAGACAATTTAGCCTACCCAATTCACCGGTACCGCATGTCTTTGGACTGTGGGGGAAACCGGAGCACCCGGAGGAAACCCACGCGAACGCAGGGAGAACATGCAAACTCCACACAGAAACGCCAACTGAGCCGAGGATCGAACCAGCAACCCAGCGACCTTCTTGCTGTGAAGCGAACTTGCTACCCACTACGCCACTGCGTCGCCCCAATTATTTTATTTATTTAAAATTTTTTTGCCCTTTGCGCGCGGCCCACCCCTGTCAACGCTACCTGCTGATCAATTACAGAGCTTGTGCTACACGTCATCGCGACGTGTAGTTACATTATTTGAGAGGTCGGTGTCTACGTCAGTCACGTGAGGGGTATACGGCAGAAGATCCGGATGAACGATAAATCATTTAAATGAGTTTAATCTTTTATTATAAAATCTATTTTCAAACACGGTGCACTTTCAGATATTACCCTCAAGTGGATATTTCACTTCACTTAGATCTGTGTTGCACACTGCATGGAAGGTCATAGTTTTTTTAGTAGTTTTCATTTGGCTTTACTCCCTTGTTACTAGCTGATGTCCTTAGTGTAGGCATGGGACGATAGCAGTTTTCAAGGTTTACTGTGGTTTGAAAAAGTCAAGGTTTTAAAACTGCCAACCTTTGCTGTTATGTTGTTCCTACGGTATATACAAGTTTGTTTTGTTTTGTTTTTTTACGTGTTTTTTAATGACTATTTTATTCAGTTTGTTAGGGCAACAGTATCTCTGGCAGAAAAGGAGCCTCCACATCAAAAGCTACTGTTGCAAATTATTTAAAAATTTTTATTTCATCTTCCTCAAAGACATTTTGTACATTTCAATAACTGAAAAATGTTTTGATTAGTAATATGAATTGCTAAGAGCGAACTCTAAAGGCAATTTTGAACCTTTAGATTCCAGATAATTTATATAGTCCATTTCACGCATACATTACAGATTTTTGAGATCCATGGTCTGAAATGGTTTCTTGTTTTGCCTAACTTAATTCTTTATTTTTTCCCCCTGATAAATAGTTTTTAAAAAGATGCATGCGAGTTAAAAAAAAACTGTAATATAGCATTTAACAGACTGTTTAATTGCAATCTTTATTTGATTAAACTTAACCCCTAACATGTAAACTTAAAGCGTTAAACATTAGCATACAAATAGAATACTATCAGTGCTTATTACAGGTTTGAATTATACTTGCGGTGGTAGCTGGATTGAAACACATCATTTACCCACATCAAATAAATAGTTACCTATGTGACAAACAAAATATATTCAATTTTTTACAATACTTTCATTTATTATGACAATGTTATACACTGTTTACTTTCAATGGGTTAAAGTAAAAAAAATAATAATAATTTAAAAGAGACATCCTTTTTCTCTTTCCTATTCAGGAGCAACGAGCACCGCTAACAGGCCAAATCTGCGTCTCTCTCTCTCTTTCAAGTTCAAAGCAAACTTGAATGTAAAAGCATTTTAGATATGTATATAAAGTAGCCTATATATTAGCCTAATGACATAATCAAATTAATAAAATATACAGCAAATGACAAATAAATGACAGAAAAAGAAATAATAAGAGAATATCTCAAAAAATATTTAAAAAATAATCACATTTACAAGATTTAAACGTGTTGA